TGCTCCCCAGTACTGCAGCGTTACAAAATCCCCAGCGAAAAGCAACCCGGGGACTTACAGCTCCGAAAGTCTTTGGCAGAACTCCCACGCATCTGGGCTGATCCTGTTAATGGCATTCTGGCTGACATAGAGCTGTTGCAACGTCCGCAGGCCGTACAGCCAGCCCTTGTTTACTTCTGTTAAGTTGTTATGTTCCAGCTCTCTAAGGAATCAGAAGGCGTTACAAAATCCCCAGCGAAAAGCAACCCGGGGACTTACAGCTCCGAAAGTCTTTGGCAGAACTCCCACGCATCTGGGCTGATCCTGTTAATGGCATTCTGGCTGACATAGAGCTGTTGCAACGTCCGCAGGCCGTACAGCCAGCCCTTGTTTACTTCTGTTAAGTTGTTATGTTCCAGCTCTCTAAGGAATCAGAAGGAAAAACATTTGCCAAATAGATAATCAATGAAACGCATTTACAAAACTTCACCTCGTGGATCTCAAAATGATACACGAGCGCCAAACCTCAGGCAACCCGGACTGCACGATGACATTCATTCCTCTGAAACCGAAAGAGGGAATGGAGGCGTTTGCCAAACCCAGCAACCCAGCTGCAGCGACCCGGCGATCTCTGCTCTCAGAGATCGCTCCTTTGTAACGATCTCTGGCTAAGGCCGCGCGGCGTGCCGCTGCGCACTGTCAGTCACACAGCAAAGAACCCCCCTCGCTCTGGGGAATGCAAGCACAAAGCGCGCTTGATCGCCAAGAAGCCGGGGAGAGCCATACTCTTCCCACCTCTGAAGTAACCGGACAGGATATCAACCTAACGGGAAAACACAGATCCGCAGGGTGGTTTCCCGTGACGCTCAATGCCCCCGCACAGCGTCAGGGAAGACCCACAGGACACAGCATCCCCCAGCCCCTAAGAGAAACTCCACGACTAGGCATACTCACAGTTCCTCTATATTACCCAGGCCAAAGAATGCTCCGTCCATCAGTCTGCTAATCCCATTGCGCTGCATTTTTAAGGATTTTAAGGATTCCAGTCCTTGGAATGTCAGACTCTCCACTGTTTTAATCCGGTTCCTTTTCAGTTCCCTGTTATGAAGAGGACATTCAAATATTAAGACGTCGTTGAGTAGGCACCACGCTGCGAAAGGCGGGAACACGCCGAGATGAACACGGGGCTGTGAACACCAGGCGTTAAGCTTCAGGGCTGCTGCTTACAGAAACTGCACGTGAGGCAGTTTGAAGATCTTCGGGGGAATCACACTAATCCTGTTTCTGTTGAGCTTCACCACCATCAGGGAGCTCGACAAGTTATCAAGACAGCCAGCTTCTAGAGTCGTTATTCGGTTGTTACTCAGGTTCCTAGAAAAGGGAAAGAAGCCTTTCAGAACCTTTATGGGTTTAAATTGAAAGGAGAGGGGTTTAGATTAGATATCAGGAAGAAGTTCTTCACGGAAAGGGTGGTGAAGCACTAGAACAGGTTGCCCAGAGATGTTGTGGATGCCTCATCCCTGGAAGTGTCCAAGGCCAGGCTGGATGAGGCTTGGAGCAACCTGGTCTAGTGGAAGGTGTCCCTGCCCACGGCAGGGGGGTTGGATGTTATTTTAAGGTCCCTTCCAACCCAAACCATTCTATGATTCTGTGAACGTCGGGAATTTAATGAACAAAACCACATGAGCACTTTGGAGTAACCACATGTTATCCGAACTCAAGTTCCTCGTAAAGTTGCATCAGAAATCTGAATTCTGGTATACAGAACTAAATCACTTTTCCCACAGGAATCGGTGCTAGGAGCTGATTTTTACTGCATGCCCATGCTTCAGTCAGCAGCGATCTACTCAAAACCACCCTCCCATGTCCCTGCCGGCCGAAGCACCGGCACGGCGACAACAGCAGTTCATGTTTTCCAGCTATTTGAGAAAAGGCAATACAGATTGGCATGACAAGCATTTTATTTCAAGCACTAGCGCACCTCTGCTGAGTGCTGCTGCCAGGTCAAAGCCACGCCAAGCTGCCTGCTTAGAGACTAACTCGGGGTAGGTGAAGTGTTCAACGTCACTGTTGCAGAGCCAGGGACCCCAGGCACCAGACCCCTCATACTTACAGGTATTTCAGTTGCATCCGTGGAAAAGAAGAAGCTTTAATCTCCGAGATAAGATTAGAACTAAGATCTAGATTTTCCAGTGAAAGGTAAACTTGGAGCTGCTCAGCATTTATTTCTGGAATGGTATTGTGCACCCTGAAAAATACCGGCAACAAACAGGATTATCAGGACATCCCATCCGTCAGGGTTCTGTGCATCAACAGCGTTAGCGAGGCTCTGAAACGGGACCTGTACCACACGCCCCAAAGTGCCAATTCCTAAAGCGATACCGGAAATCCAAGAGCTATTTGCTGCCTTGACATAGGAATAGATGCAAATTCCAGGGCCTGTAGCTGGGCTGTTCCTTGTGGGAACTATCACTCCAAGACCGAAGCCCTCCCCTCCAAAGCCGCCTGCCGTGGCTGACTGCATTTTACTGGTGATTTAGGGTGTCTTGGTTGTCTAACTGATTCGTACGTCTTCAAAGAAATCTGGCGTATTCCCCGACGCCCACAGCAGCGTCTCCAGACAAAAGCAGCTACAGAACTCTCATGCAATCCTCCCATGCACCAGAAAAAGGCAGGGAAGCTGTTACTTACAATGACAGAAGAGTGATATTAGACGTTGTCTCTCCAAAATACGGAATCTCACTGAGCTCATTGTAATTCATTTTCCTTGAATTAAAAAAAAGGGATTAGTGGCATTCCAAGAGGAGAACGCCCCCCCTCGTACTCAGCAGAAATAACCCCTATCACAGAACGCATCTCACAATTTTCTTATGTTGATAATACTTAGTTGACAAAAAAGATTCCCTAAAAGCTCAAATACTTAGTAACTTGAACAATTTAACAGTGAAGCATGCTCAGTTTTACCCTTTTCATGGATACCATTACTTCTCTTTAACTTAGAAACAGCTGTAGTGAGAACAAACATGCCTCCTTCCCCTTTAAAAACATCCATCTTCTGATCTTTTACCAAGAAGTTTCCTGCTCACAAAGTGGCAGTTTTATCCATAACGTGCTGCCAACAGAGTATCCATTTTTAATTAACTGGCACTGAGTATTTCTACAGGTCAGACCAGATATCTAGACACGCAATGGCTAATTGTAACGTACTAATTAAAACTAGGTAGGAAATCTTTAGTTTATCCTCATAAAAACCGACTTACACTTCTTGCAGTGTATGGACAGCCAAATCGATGCTCCAGTTCGATGACAACAAGTGATTATGGCTTAAATCCCTAGGGAACAAAGAGAAGAGTTATTCTAGCCCCTGGAATTAAGAACAAGCATACTCCTTATGCAACCTACAAGTTTTAAACCATATTTTTGATCCACGCAATTCCTCCCTCCCCAGAGGAAGGTGAGGTTCATAGAATCATCATAGAATCATGGAATGGTTTGGGTTGGAAGGGACCTTAAAGATCATTGAGTTCCAACTCCCCTGCCATGGGCAGGGACACCTTCCACTAGACCAGGTCACTACAGGCCCTTGTAAAAAGTCCCCCTCAGGCACTGGAAGGTGCTATAAGGTCTCCCCGGAGCCTTCTCTTCTCCAGGCTGAACAAGCCCAATTCTCTCAGCCTTGAGTACCTCCTGGCTTGTCCCAGAGGTCACGCACAGTAAGGTTTAGACAGTTCTGTGTGAATTTTGCTAAAATGATTCTCGAAAGAAAGCTCCAACCCGATGGGAGCATCTCCCTTTAAACCACAGGCAGGTACTGTTGATAAAGCCATCGCAGAGAAAACCGTCCCGCTGACAGGAACATCAACTCTTACAAACTGCCTGTTACTGAACTGTTTTCTGTGGCAACGACCCCCTTTTCCCAGCCTGCCCAGCTTTTCAGAGTGGCTCACTAGTCAAGGCAGGCTCACGGGAAAGGAGCAACATCCACACCATTACCCAACAAGCTGGAGGGGAGGGAACCAGGAGGCTGGGAAGCTTGCAGCTTTAATGCCAGGTGGTTTGCTTGTAGGAAACAAAAGCAGGAGTTGGATTGCTTCAATAGGCCCATCATTAAACCCGGCTTTAACGCCCAGCCTGGATGCCGACACTATTCCACAGCTTTAACTTTAAAGCAGCACGTACTTCTGCCTTGGGTTGGTGCGTATGATGCTATAAGCAAACACACGTCCGCTTCTGAGAGCCAACCCCCTGGGCACTGACTATCCTACGTTGGGACACGAGTCAAAGCATGACCGAAAGAATAATCAGGCAGCCTGCAGCTACGCTGAGACAGGAGGCAAAACCAGCCTTCAAGAACAAAACCACTGCATTCCCGTAGAAAAGCGTATCGAAATGTAAGCGAGCCCCATTAAAACCAGGCAGGGGCAGCGATGGCATCCCCCGTGCTCGTCTGCTCTCGCCACAGCTTTGGGCCGGCAGCGGACTTCAACCTCGCTGAGGGTCGAACCTGCCCAAAACCATGACCGGGGGAAGAAAAGGAATTGTCCTGGTGCCTCTGCTGAAGAAAGGATCACGGTACACATCCGACCCTCAATGACGACCCATAAGCATCCATGGGTGGGTGTTAATGATGTAGGAGAACCCTCCAAGCAGGGAAGACTTGCTGATGCCCACAAGACAACCTGAGGGGACCCGGGTTTACTCCCCCGGCGCTCACGGCACCACGGATACACTCTTGATCCGTAAGACCAGAACCTGCTGGGAAGAGCGAGGACCTGACAGACTGTCATTAGCTTCCACTCAGGCTCAGCAACAGACACAGTTGTACCAATGAATTATGAACATCCTGGTGTCATGGCAAGTCTGCTGGTTGTCAGTGTATTCTTTTAATTACATCAAGATGGAAATTACACAGATACGGCAGCAAACAGGTTTGCAAACAATTGTTCATTCCTACAATTAAAAAGAAAAGAACCAAGGGGACCTGGACAAAAGAACAAGGCACATGGGGCCACCGAGTGCTCCTCTGCCTGTTCCCTCGACATACGCAGCGATTCAGCCAGTGCTGGATGCCAATAACATACAAACCACCGAGCCTGAACTGCTCCGAGAGCAGCCTTCCCATCGGGACACCCTCTGGGCTTGGGGATCCATCCTGCCCACCGCTGCAGGAGCCCGGCTCAGCCCGGGGGCTCTGGGCATGCTGAAGGGCCCTGGAACGGCCATGGGAGCCGTCACGCTCAGTGGAGGGTAGCAGGGAGCAGCGCTGATCCCAGATCCCAAAGGAAGAGTCTTTCCGGGATCTTTCAAAGGTGCAGGCACCCAGCCAGCGCTGAGGAGCCTGATCTTGCCAGCAGCGGGTTTAACCAGACCGGGGAGTGCTAAGGCATGCTGTTTCCAGAGGACCTGAGTGCAACCCATGGGGGAAGGATGACAGCACGGACACAGGAGCCAACAATGCACTCCTCAAGGAGTCCAGGTACCACACTGATGAGCAGACCCGTGCCACGGGTGCAGGGCCAGAGCGACCTGTGTGTCAGGCACACGTAGTGGGCACCGCCAAAGACCTCCGACTAACATGCAAAGAAAGCAGAAACTGACTTTTTTCCTAAGGCTTTCAGGACAAACAGAGTATTTTAGATGGAAGCAACCTACAGCCATCATCTGGTCCAACAGCCTGACCACTTCAGAGCTGAGCAAAAGTTAAAGCCAATTATTAAGGGCATTGTCCAATGCTTCTTAAACCCTGGCAGGCGTGGGGGCTGGGCAATGAGGGTCTGCTGAGGCTCAGGCCTCCCCCCAGAATGCCTTACTACTAACTTGGAAATTAAGATCTTCATTTAGAAAGCCCAGGATAGTATTTTTCTATTATTGCTCAGATTTAGACTGTAACGAAGTTTGCATTAACAACGAGCCCTCTTGCAAGAAGCTGGGTACAGTTCATACAGAAGCTACTGAAGCTTTCCTTTCTGAAGCAGCGACTGATCACTAAACCCCAAGTCAAACACAATGTCTGATTTTCTGAGCTTATAGATAATTCAATCACACAACTACAAGCTCTGCTCTCATGCAGAACCAGATACAGTTCCCCTGCTCTGAAAAGGCCAAAACCGATGAACACCGTGAGGCCAGCGTCACAGACAGGATACAGAGCAAACAAGCAAAATCTGGATTTTAGAGCTTCATCTGGTATTGTATACAAAATCCTCTAAACATTCATTTTGAGCTGAAGCGGTATTCGTCTCGAGTAAATAAAACCCAATGCGCACACCAAAACGATGACTGGATACTTGGTCCTGGAGAAGGGCGTTAATTCAGCCCACCTGCTCCCTCCTCACGTCACTGCGCTGGTACAGGCGTTGGAGCAGCAATGCAGCCAGTTGAACTAAAAATACGTTAACTCGCCCAAAAAAACCTGCTGTCAACGGAACCAGCTGCACTAATTAACTGACAGCTAACCTGCTTTCACTCAGCATCTCGCTAGCTGCCAGCACACCAACACGCTTCCGGGCAGCGCCCGCCAGCACCGTGCTCCCCTCTCCCCCTGCAGATGACACCTGGATCTCTTCAAGGCCAGGCTGGATGAGGCTTGGAGCAACCTGCTCTAGTGGAAGGTGTCCCTGCCCATGGCAGGGGGTGGGACTGGGTAGGCTTTAAGGTCCCTTCCCACTCAAACCATTCCATGATTCTGTGACTGCTCCACAGGCAGGGGCTGCACGCCCTGTTCCGGAGAGCAGTGTGTAAAGGCGCGAACACCTGAAATATTCACCATCTCTTTGCCTTCCCTACCCTTCTCATCACCTGCCAGGCTATCCACAAAACATTTAGCTGGAAACACGGAGTTACAGTCGCTCCAATACTTCCATCATGATAAAGAGTTCTGAAGGTGCTCTCCAGGCCTTATTAAGAACAAAAAAACCTCAAATAAAACCAACTGCCCACACACTGGAAGCATCACCCAGAAGTAGTTTAAAAGAGTTAGGAAAAACAAGAATTTTTAGTCCTCAAATCAGGCGAAATGATACTATGGAGAGGAAAAAGCCCATCAGGAACTTCTTCATGCGAGAAGAATTAAGCTTTGATTAATTTTAAACAGCTTGTATGCGTTGCAGCTTGTTACAACTGCTACAGGAGTCCTAGGGAAGAAAAACGCTCCCCCCCCCCCACTTTTTGTGCCAATACCCCGAAAGCCACAACAGAGCGCGTACACATAATTATTGTTTGCAGCAGATGTCAGCTTGCACAACACAGCACAGCGCCAGCCCCGCTTCTTCCCACCGCGCTTCGTGCCAAGCGGCTTCAAACACACCCTCCATCAGCCCGCAGAGACACAGGTATTTGTCGAAGCTTGAAAACCTGCTCTGCGAACTGCCTGGATATCGTTTCCCTTATCGGCCACCCGATGAACTTCCATCTCACTCCTCCAGGCACTGACCCCTCCCCAAGGGCTACCGCTGGGATAACCTCACACTTTCCTGACCGCCGAAGGTTTCTCAGACCAGTTACCTGTATTTCTACGCTGAAACGCACCTTTTCTCTTAAATATTTCCAACTGGTTACCGTGTGGGGAAAGGAGAGAGCTACAGAACCACAAAGGGGCAAGGGGGTGTCTGAGGCTTCCTTAGACATGCCCAGTTTTTTATACAGATCGGCCTCGAGTCCTGCTGGAGGAACTGCTGAACACGGGTTAACAGTGTTGACCCAACCACGGTTTGTGCCTTTAAACTACCTCCCAAACAAGGTTTTTCCCTTGGTCTGGAATACTGTTACTCCTATCAGCCGGGAATGGGATCACACCAAGAAGCCCTGGAACGCCTCTGTGCCCAGACGTGGGTGTTGCTGTCCCTCGCACTTCAGCGTCGCTCCCGTCCTGGAACATGGCGGGCAGAGGTGGCAAACAGGAGGTGACCGGGACAGAAACGGCCAAGGAAGGATAACAGTGCTCTGTGCTCAACCCCGTGTGAACGCTCATTAGCACACTGTCTAATTGAGCCCTTAGGAGGAGAGACTAAGGGTGGGTTACCAATTGTTCTGTTGGTTTGTGGTTGGTTTTCTTTTTTAAAAACGATGGCAGCAAACATCAAGGGGGGTCCGTGATGGTTTTCTGAGGGAAAAGGAGGGAGTCACTGAGTGACGCTGAGTTGCAAAGCAGCAAAGGGCCACGGGGGAATCAGAAGCAGAAGGCACTGTCACGGCACGGCTGAAGCAGGGGGTTGGAATCTCTAAACACGATCCTAAGGGACTATGTCCTACGGCTTGACCTGACAAAACGCTAAATCCAGGTCTGCCGGCATCACCACATCTT